GGGGTGATGGGGATATGGAAGGTGGGGTGATGGGGATATGGAGGGTGGGGTGATGGGGATATATCCTGCAGAGGCTGATTCAGTACTCATTATTTGTCTTAGTTAGGGTTCTATTGCTGTGACAAAACACTGTGACCAAAAAGCAGCTTGGGGAGGAGAGGGACTATTTGGCTCACATTTCCACAGCACTGTTCACCAAAGAAGTCAAGACAGGAACTCAGCAGGGCAGGAACCTGGAAGCAGGAGCTGATACAGAGGCCATGAAGGGGAGCTGCTTACTGGCTGGCTCAGCCTGTTTTCTTATAACACCCAGGACCACCAGCCCAGGTACGGCACCCCCTACAATGGACTGGGCCCTCCCTCATCAATAACTAATTAAGAAAATGCCTTACAGTTGGATCTTATGAAACATTTCTCTTTCTCAATTTTCTTTTGGGGGGGATGGTTTCAAGACAGGGTTTCTTTGTGTAGTTTTGGATCCTGTCATGGAACGTTCTCTGTAGACCAGACTGGCCTCGAACTCTCTCTCTCTTTTTGGTTTTTTGAGACAGGGTTTCTTTGTATAGCTTTGGAGCCTGTTATGGAACTCACGCTGTAGACCAGGCTGGCCTTGAACTCACAGAGATTTGCCAGCTGGAGGCATTTTTCTCAGTTAAGGTTCCCTCCTTTCAGATAACTCTGTTTCGTATGTCAAGTTGGCATGAGACCAGCCAGCACAGTGTTACACAGGAGCTGCTTCAACGATTAGTGCTGAACTACAGCGGCAGTTTGTTTCTTGTTTCTTGTAACCCTTTGGTTTCAGTAGGAGATTCTCTTGGTATGGCCTGGGGGTTCTCGTGAGGCTGCTCGATCAGGACAGGAAGATGGCTGAATCTCTCTCGCCTTGTGGTTTCTGATCCCTACTATTTTGCCTGTGCTCCTTGCACAGCGAATGTCTCTCCAAGGGAAGCCTTCCATGGGGTCAGGCCCCAAAGGAGAAGTTCTTATCTGGGCTGTGTTTGCTTTACATTTGGTCACGTTTCATTGGTCAGAGTAATCTTATGGCCACCCTGAGTCAGGATGGGAGGGAATGGTGTATGAAGATGCAAAGATCAACATCAATGTTCATGGGGGAGCCAGCAACCGAGGCTTACAAATCCTGGTTTTAAACACATAGAAAGAATAGGACAGGGGGCTGGAGAGATGGCTCAGAGGTTAAGAGCATTGCCTGCTCTTCCAAAGGTTCTGAGTTCAATTCCCAGCAACCACATGGTGGCTCACAACCATCTGTAATGAGGCCTGGTGCCCTCTTCTGACCTGCAGGCATATACACAGACAGAATATTGTATACATAATGAAAATAAATATTTTTTTAAAAAAGAATAGGACAAGGGTGGGCATGATCGATGAGTTTCAGGGGATCTGATTATCTTCTTCTGGCCTCATAGGCACTGGGCAGTCAAGTGGTCCACAGACATATTTACAGGCAGAACACCCTTCCACATGAAATACAATAAGACATGCAAACCACCCAGACAGTCTTCAAACTTCTTGCGGTTCTGCTGCCCAGAGGGCACATCTGTTTTATGTTAGTGTTATCAAGCGCCCTTCAAGTGAGTTTGTATGCACATGCAAGAAATAGGGTGGTTCTGTGCCTGGAAGAAGAGGGCTTAGAGGCCTCTGGATCTGGAGTACAGATGGCTGGGAGCTGCCTCCTGGTGTGAATGCTGAAGATGGACTTGGGTTCTGTGCGAGATCAGTGAGTGCTCTTCAGCCCTCAGCCTATTCGTTAAACATAACTTGCATTCAGTTAAGAAACAAGTTCATCCCTGTGAGATGGGAATGTGAACCATCATAGTCCATGGATACCTGAGTTGGATTGTATGTAACCATGGTTACCAGGTTACCATCCCCTCCTTCAAGAGATGCCAAACCATTAGCATTTCTTTCCAGCCCTGTGCCCCCTGGCTGGCTTCTGTGTCCAGAAGTTTATATGGCTGGAGTGGGGAAAGGTGAGCAGTGACAGAAACTGTTGGAACCGTGGAGGCTTCTGCCATACTCCTTGGCCCTTCACTTACCAGGGACTTAATACTGGGCAATGCAGTGCCACGAAACAGTCACGTGTCACACACTTGCTCTTGGTCCTGTACCTGCCTCTTTGCCCTCGATGGTAAGCTTCTCAAAGGGAGGGACCTTTCCGGGTTGTTCTGTATCATCTGAGTACCCTGCAGTAGCGTCTGGGTCAAGGCACTCCAGGTAATGTCTGAAGAATGAATGAGCAAATGGATGAGTGGGGAAGAAGTGGGAGGAGTCCTTATAGCATAGACGGGGAATGTTGGGATGCTCAGTGCAGAGGATGGATGAGGAGAAGCCACAGTACAGTAGAAGATGAAATGTGGGGTGAGAAAACCTGGACGCCAGTCTCAGCGAGGCTACCTATTGACTGTGTCACCCTGAACAAGTCAGAAAAAGTTTCTTTCCCCAATTCACCTTATACACAAAAGGAACAAGAGGCGAACTCAACAAGTATTTGCCAAGTGCTTGCTTGCTACAGCCTGAGGTGGGGCTGGGACCTCAGCAGGGAGTGGAGTCTTTTGTCAGCTATGGACGTGCACTGTGCAGTCCAACTTCAAGGGAGATCTTCTGCGAGGGGTGTGGCTAGCTGTGGCCTCCTGAGCCTGCCTGGTGGCACGCATGCTGAGGCCAACCTCTTCTTGAGCTGTCTCCACAGGGATAGAGCTTGAAAGGGCGCTAGAGTTCTACAGACTGAAACTCTTCCCGCCCAACCTCTTCCCTCTCTCTGCATAGCGTCAGGCCATACGGTCTGAGGCTC